CATTTCCAAACCCTCATCCTTCCTACCTACCCCATTCAGGCGCACCCAATTCCTCCTTTTCCACTATTCCCAATCCTCCCCAATCTTCATCGACCGCTTCGCCACCACCTGCGTGCAGATCATCTTTTCCAGATCCGAACCAACAATCATCCGCCAATATGCCGCTGCATATCTCGCAAGTTTCGTCGCCCGCGGCGCCCACGTCTCCAGCGAAGTCGTCCGCGACGTCTTCGACCTTCTCGGCACACACCTCCAAAATCTCCAGGCCGAATACGAACCTACTTGTCGCGGACCCGACCTGAAACGCTACGGCCCTTTCTACTCCACCGCCCAAGCCCTCCTCTACATCTTCTGCTTCCGCTGGCGCGATCTGACCACCGCCGCGCTAGATGCCGACATCACCACCACCCCGGCCTCTTCAGCTTGGTTATATGACCTCGACCTCGACGACGCCCGCTTTCCCCCACAGATCAAAAACGTTCTTTCCCCCGCCATCAACTCGAAACTCAACCCCTTAAAAATCTGCTCCCCAGCCATCGTCTCCGAGTTTGCCCGCCTCACCCACCACCTCCACTTCATGTACCTCTACACCCTCATCGAGACGAACAAGAGAATCCGCATCTCCTCCTTCCGCAGCCGCGCGGTGCTGGCGATGCAGTCCCGCTTCGGCAACGTCGAGCGCGAGATCAAGGCGGACGACGACCTGGGTCCGCAGCTTGATGCGTATTTCCCGTTCGATCCGTATCATCTGCCCAGGAGCCGGAGGTGGGTTGTGGATGATTATTTGGAGTGGAGGGGGATTCCAGGGGTGGATGATCGGGAGGACGAGGACGAGTTTGATGATGATGAGACGACGGATGGGAGTGTGACGGTGAATGATGAGGTGGAGAGTGAAGAGGAGGGGATGACGGGGACAGATGAGGATTGATTTGTTGGTTGCTTGGTTGGTTGATTGTTGATTGATTTTTCTGTCCATGTCACACGCTTCTCTTTTCCCTTTTCCCCTTTCTAAATGTAAAGCGGGTTTGATAAGTCTTGCATTACTTTCTGCTTTTAGTGGTCAAATTTTTGAAAAATGGGGATACATTGACTAATTTCCGGAAGACTTTTGCTTGGAGTTGGGGCTCTTTTTTTTTTTTTTTTTTTTTTTCTCTTCATCCTTTTCCCCTGTTTTCTTTTTCGTTTTGCTTTTGCCTTTCTGTTTACAGCGTCTTTTTACGCCATTTCCCATGTTTTCAGCGCTTTTATCTATTTTCCCTATTATTTCTACTGTTGTTATTTCCATTTTAGTCCGCTTCATGTTGGATTTTTTTTTTTTTTTTTTTTTCTTTTCCTCCTTTCCTTTCCTTTCCCTTTCAGCATCTTCTCGTCTCGCCTGGTCGAATAAATTTATATCCTCCATTCCGGTCACGGCGCTTGAGGTATTGGAAGAATGTTTTTGCAGTTCAAACAACAATCGAAGAGGAGCGATGCGCAGAGGGCATTTTAATTAAACGGAATTGGATGGGTTTAAGCCATGTTGTCGTTTTTTTACTTATTTACTGTCTCGTGGGATCTAAGCTTTGTACATGTACATGTACGTTAATTTGAGGATGACAGGAGTGATAAGTAAGGGCAGATCGGTTCTGTGGTGAGCTGTTTTGAAGGGGGGAGGATAAAGTAGAGTGAAAAGGAAAAGGAATAAATAAATAGTGTTTTTGGAACAAAGAACAAGCTAAGCTGGTTTGATAGATGGATGCGGGCGGGCTCGATTCTCCTGGAGGATGGTTCCGTAATATAATAATAATGTATGTGCCCATTGAGTTGCGGATCATCTCTATAAACTCCATGATATAAAAAGGAAGATATAATAATATAACATGCAAATCTAACCAAACCGATATATTTAAAAAAACCTATGTCATCAAAGAAAACTAAGTCTATACTATATATACTAACTATATATACTATACATATATAAGACAACCAAAAGAAGCAGCCAGACAACCCAGCCTGACTAGTCTTGATCTACATCTACTTGCGCTCACTCTCAAAAATAAGCTCCATTTCCTGACACGCCTGTCTGTATATAGCATCCACAGACCCCTGGTCCCGCAGCGGGTTCGCGCTCTTATCCCACGCATGCCGCTGTCCCGCGACTGTCATCGACCGCACTCTTTTCCCCATTCCTTCCAGGCGCTGCGCGAACTCCCGCCCTTCCTCGAGCAACATGTCCCACTCGCACATACATATGAAGATGTCTGCCGGAAGCCCTTCACGCAAGATGTCATCGGATGCGTGGATAGGCGAGGCAAACGGCGAGGCGCGATCTGCTAGGTCGGGTATGTAGGACTCGTCGAAGAGGGTGGTGAGGAAATCTGGGAGGCACTTATCGGGGTTCTTGGAGCGGCTGCTGCGTGTTTCGCGGGTTGTTACGAAGTCGAGGATGGGGTATCATGCGAAGAGATGAGGATTGATTTGTTGGTTGCTTGGTTGGTTGATTGTTGATTGATTTTTCTGTCCATGTCACACGCTTCTCTTTTCCCTTTTCCCCTTTCTAAATGTAAAGCGGGTTTGATAAGTCTTGCATTACTTTCTGCTTTTAGTGGTCAAATTTTTGAAAAATGGGGATACATTGACTAATTTCCGGAAGACTTTTGCTTGGAGTTGGGGCTCTTTTTTTTTTTTTTTTTTTTTTTCTCTTCATCCTTTTCCCCTGTTTTCTTTTTCGTTTTGCTTTTGCCTTTCTGTTTACAGCGTCTTTTTACGCCATTTCCCATGTTTTCAGCGCTTTTATCTATTTTCCCTATTATTTCTACTGTTGTTATTTCCATTTTAGTCCGCTTCATGTTGGATTTTTTTTTTTTTTTTTTTTTCTTTTCCTCCTTTCCTTTCCTTTCCCTTTCAGCATCTTCTCGTCTCGCCTGGTCGAATAAATTTATATCCTCCATTCCGGTCACGGCGCTTGAGGTATTGGAAGAATGTTTTTGCAGTTCAAACAACAATCGAAGAGGAGCGATGCGCAGAGGGCATTTTAATTAAACGGAATTGGATGGGTTTAAGCCATGTTGTCGTTTTTTTACTTATTTACTGTCTCGTGGGATCTAAGCTTTGTACATGTACATGTACGTTAATTTGAGGATGACAGGAGTGATAAGTAAGGGCAAGAGGTCGGTTCTGTGGTGAGCTGTTTTGAAGGGGGGAGGATAAAG